CAGGGAAAGAGTCAATATAAGCCATACGTTGAAGCAGAGTCTTAGTGACTGACTGTTGCCTACTGCTATATTTGGCTTCTAGATCAAGAGAGTTCTAAGAAAAGTCTTCAAGGGTGTTAACAAAGTGGTTTTGTAGCCATTGATGGACAGCTCTTCCCAGGCATGAGGGAAAGTTGTGAAGAAGTCAAGAAAGTGTTTGTTAAGGTGACAGAAGGAGTAGTGGAGGCCAGCCACTAGGAGAGGTAAATGCAGGAGTCAACCTTTCAGTGTCAAATAAGTGAAGAGGCTTGGAGAAGCTGGATTAACATTCAGATTATGGAAACGTGTAACTTCTGCTTGACATAACCCAGGAGGCAGAGCCAATTGAAAGGTGCTCAGAAGCAGAGTGGGAGGAAGACCAACGTGGTTAAAGGAAAATGAATGGGCACAAGAAGGACAACACTGCATTTGTTGTGCCCACCATAAAGCTTCACACTGGTGTCATCAAGTGAAGCCGTGGCAGAGGCCTTCAGATGTGTGTGCACCTAGTAGTTACAAATAAACTCTGGAAAGTCTCTAACACTTTTACACTGCTTTTAATGTCATGGCATCTTCACTGGTAGCATTCTAACACTGTAATGTCCACCTTGGCAAGTTATTACAGAAGTCTTCTGTAATGCTGCATAGAGTTACCGGAGAACAGTAAGTAACCGCTCCATTTCCCATATATTCTTATTTTGCTGTCAGTGAGAATATTCAGCTCAATATGATTTACATAACTGTATCATTGCTAAAATCATAACCCTTTATAAAAAATGCTGAAGGTCTTTTGGACTGAAAGGCCCAAATCAGGAAGGTATATGCTTAACTTCAACCATGTAAGTACCTATAGTCAATAACAAAAATGCTCTCTGTATCCACAGGTATCTGAGGTGTTACTACTGGGCAGTTCGTACTTTAATCACCATCGGTGGCCTTCCAGAACCACAAACTCTGTTTGAGATAGTTTTTCAACTGTTGAATTTTTTCTTGGGTGTCTTTGTCTTCTCCAGCTTAATTGGTCAGGTACATCAAGAAATCAATAACTAGATACTTTCAAATTACTGTAATGTAGTGATAATATATTCAATTTAATGAAGTTTAGTTCTGGGAAAAAGTTTAGCTTCCATCTGAATGTCCCTCTTAGCTGTCATCCATACTTATTCTTCTGAAAAATACATATGTTTAATCAGTTTCCAGTTTTGTAGCCCTTTTCCACACAAGCTGATTTAAAGCCAAGGCTCTGCAGGACATGGATGATTCTTGAAACTATGTATAATTCCTTTTTTCTTCCTCATAGCCAAGGAGACAGTTCCTTAACATTCATATTATACTGTTAAATCTGATATAAAAATTATAATTGTAGCTATGATAGTAATATGTACAAATTATTGAATAAGTCATGCTCGATACTACTGCCAATAGAATGCTGTTAATGGAAATCCCATTATTTTTGTCAAACTAAAATTCTGCTCTCTTCCATAAATTACAATACATTTGTTAACCTGAAAACTAACTGTTTTCTGTTTCTCTTGGTTCTCATTTGGTAGGAGGGGGTGAAAAAAGGCCCATAGCACAGAAAACCATGTGTATTTCCAAATTAATATAACTGAAATATTTCTGGCTTGTAACTATTAAACTTGGTCCTTAGATCCAGAGGTTTTAAAATACCTTGCCTACAGAAAAACAAATGCCATGGTTCCTATCTGAGACTGTGTCTTATCAGATTCCTTTAGAAATCATTCCAGACTTTTTGATTTGTACATGTCTGTTATTGGAAGAATTATTATGAAAAAATAAAGATGAAAACTGAAATTTAATTTTTATTTTGAATACAGGATTCGAAAAGTTCAATCAAACAATTAAAAATTGCATGTCTCTTGCTGTTTAGAAGTGCAAGAAGAGATAATCATTACAAAACAGACTTTTGCCTATAGGACTTAAAATTCATCCACAAACAAGAAATACCAAAAATAAAACAAAGTAGTTCATATAAAATATTTCTTCTGGAAAATTACTGAATTCAAGTATATTGGATTTAACTTCAGAGTTTGCATATTTTTTTTTCCCTAAATTGATATAACTGTCAGTGAAAGCACCATTCCCCAAGAAGATTCTGCAGATTAGTTTTTGTAACCAGTATAGTAATTTGCAGACTAAAAACTTAAATCTTAACACACAAACAGCTTCACTGCAGTTTGTTATAATTCCTGTTTACAAAGAGCTCTTAAAATTACTGTTATTCCTGGTTTAGCACACTTGCCTAAAAATTTTTATTCCTACTGCAATCAATTGCATCTCTGTAATAAAAAGCAGAATTCAGCCCACTAGCATACTGGCCACTACAATATGAAGCCATTCCGCTGAAAACATGTCTATATAGTTATGCTTTTGGAGAAAGAATATCTATGAACATTAACTCATCCATTTTCTAAAAACTAAATTACATTTGTGTTGGAAAGTTAAATGATGTTCCTGCACTAAAATCTTCAAGGACAACTTTTAGCCCAAAGTGCATTTTTAGGACTGATCTAGATTCATTTAACTATTTGAACAGTGGCAGGATCTTAATTCTAGTGGTGCCAGCTGATGTTATTAGAGAAATTTAACCCAGTTTGCTTCACTTGTGACTTGCATTGCACACCAAATGCAGAGTAGCTTTATTATGGATTTTTAAGGAAAGCATTATCTATATTTTTCATCCATGTCCAGAAATATGAGACAGAAGAATAAGCTAAAACTCACAAATGATTCCTTTAAAATCATAAATATAGCCTTTCCAACACAACTAAATTAAATCTGTAACGCTTCTGAAAAAGCAGATGAAGCACCTATTCAAAACATGCAGCTGAAGGTATAATTGATTAGTGATTTTGCAAACAGTGTTTTATTCTTTTTATATGTTGTTGACAAGATATTCAAATCAAGACTATTTTTGCTGAAATGTGTAGTAACAACAACTGATGTTTGCAGATGAGAGATGTAATTGGAGCAGCTACAGCAGGACAGAACTACTACCGTTCCAGTATGGACAACACTGTCTCCTATATGAACACTTATTCTATTCCAAAAGTAGTCCAAAATCGTGTTCGAACCTGGTATGAATACACATGGGACTCTCAGGGAATGCTGGGTAAGGCTTTCCAATTCCAATCACGTAGCAGCTCCAAGTGAGAGTGGTTGTATAATACAGATGTAGGGCGAAATTCACATTTCTTTTCTGAATTGCATGTGAGAATTGAGGAGGGTATTCAATTTACTTTAGAAAGGGGAGAGGTGCTCCAGCCCTCTGATCATCTTTGTGGCCCTCCTCTGGACTTGCTCCAACAGGTCCATGTCTTTCCTGTAATGAGGACTCCAGAGCTGGACACAGTACTCCAGGTGGGGTCTCACTAGAGCAGAGTAGCGGGGGGAGAATCACCTCCCTCGACCTGCTGGCCACACCTCTTTTGATGCAGCCCAGGATACTGTTGGCTTTCTGGGCTGCAAGCGTACATTGCTGGCTCGTGTTGAGCTTCTCATCAACCAACACCCCCAAGTCCTTCTCCTTAGGGCTGCTCTCAATCCATTCTCTACCCAGCCTGTATTTGTGCCCCGACCCATGTGCAGAACCTTGCACTTGGCCGTGTTGAACTTCATGAGGTTTGCATGGGCCCACTCTCAAGCCTGTCAAGGTCCCTCTGGATGGCATCCCTTCCCTCCAGTGTGTTGACTGCACCACACAGCTTGGTGTCGTCGGAAAACTTACTGAGGGTGCACTCGACCCCACTGTCTCGACCGCCAACAAAGACGTTAAACAGCACCAGTCCCAATACCAACCCCTGAGGAATGCCACTCATCACTGGTCTCCACTTGGACATCGAGCCGTTGACCACAACTCTTTGAGTTCTACTAAGAAAGTACTGCTTTGAACTCATAAATGCTAAAATAGCTCCATTAAGTTATTTTTCTGTACAATGCTCATTTCTATGGACATTCTTTCATTCTTCCTTTATATTTTCTAACTAACAGAGTTTGCTTTTTTTTTCTTTTACAGATGAATCAGAATTACTGGAGCAGATGCCAACCAAAATGCAATTAGCCATTGCAATTGATGTGAACTTTGCCATTGTCAATAAAGTTGACTTATTCAAAGCAAGTAGTTTTACGTGGGAATTCAGAAATATGGGGTATTCCTGAGACAGACTTAAGAATATGGTTGTTAATATGCAAGGCAAAATAGATCTAAGAAATATTTCAGTCAATGGAGACATGTCAGGACAAAGCCAAGTGCCTGCCTTTGAATTTTTTGTGTCAAAGTAGAGATTAAAATAAAAGCAAATGAGATTACGACACAGTCCTATTGTATCGACATACTAAAGCTGATGTTATGGTCAGACTATAAATGATTTCAGAGTTTAACTGACTCAAGAGTCAGACATAGAAGAATGTAATTTTTAATACAGTTCGTCTTGCCTTGCTGTATACTGCCTAGCGCTGCCTGAGACATCACTAATGCTATGCGTTCTGGCAACATAACTTTGATGTAGTGGATGCTACTTTTTAGTAACTTTTAGTGCAAAGGAACTTTCTCTTTGTTATCATGATAGTTTTCCAGAGATACAATTTAAATGTGGTACTTAAGATTGGATTTTTGCCAACAAAACCAAGGAGACACTGCATTTTTAGAAGTAATCTCGACATACAATAACCTTATCACTAAATTGTTTATGATAATTGCCAAAAAATCCATGATATCTCTGTATAAACATTACATATCTTCACGGTTTCTGCCACATTTGCTAAAACCATGGAATTCATAGATTTACACCAACGTTTGACATGATCTGGGTTTTTTATCCCCTGGATCAATAAAAAAAAATGCCATAAGAGACCCATAAAGCTGTGAACATAGCACTAACTGAGCTTCCACACCAAATTTAGATGTACAGAAGCTTACTTCATAAAAAATGAAGAGATGTTCAACCTAAAGGGAACCTTATAAGTATTTAAATGACAGTTCTTTCAGTCTTTTCTCTGCTCTAAAAGCTGATCCTTATTATGTTTTGAGTTTGCATTCCACTTATGAATCCCTGGATCATTCATGTGTTGTTGGGTTTTTCTGCCCAGTGTAAGCACTAATAATCATCACTTGTGTTGCTGACTTAATGAAGTAATCAATTCTAACTATTTTAACAGGGGTGTGATACCCAGATGATATATGACATGTTGCTAAGGTTGAAATCCATTGTGTATTTACCTGGTGACTTTGTTTGCAAAAAGGTAAGCATTGCTGCCTCTTTCAAATAATAATTATAGTATGTATTTTAGAAAAAGAGTTCAGATATCAGTCAACAGTGTCCTTTAAATAAAATTAATCCTGAGTGAATTAGATAGCATAAAAGTAATTGAGGTACTCTGTGTAATAGTAACAAATGTGCTCTCAAGTTTCAACCTAGAACAAGACAATATGGATTTTATTACTTACATTATCAAACATAAAAATATAGTAATATGGGAAAGTATTTAATGTAAATATGGCTTATCTAATGATACATCATGAAGTTTTAACGTTTAAAATGGAGTAAGATTTTTTTTTTTATACATATATACATACAAACCTAGCTTGCAGATCTCAATCTATGATGCTTTGCATGTGCTTCATTTGTGTATTCAGAAACTCTTAAGTGGAATTTTCCAAGAATGTAGAAAATACACTGCATCCCGTACCGCTCCTTACAGCAAGATCTGATCTTGCTCTACCTTCACTCACAGCTCTGAGCCATCTCCAGACTTCCAGCTGAATGCTGTCACACTGTCCCTTAGCAAAGACATCTATCTTCTCTTAGCATTTTGGCTCAATCATGGCCTTATAGTAACACAGGTAGATAGCTCAGCTTCTGACCAAGTGAACCCAAGTCTCTTTTCAAAAGGCATGTAAACATACTTATAGGCAATGTTGGATGTAGATAAATCATGGGGGAGGGTGAAGTATCAGTACTGTTACTGTTCTGGCAAGTGACCCACACCCGGAAGTGACCATCAGAACCCCTTAATTTGTCTTTAGCAGTTCTGGTCCAGGATCTTCACTAAGGTCCTGCTCCCTCCAGGATTTAAGAATATGATCCTCTTCCCGAATGCTGAGTTAGTCCCACTGACTCCACAGTGTAGGAAGTTAAATATCTGTGAATGCACTGAAGGATCAGGTGTACCCCTTCAAAGACCAATCCTAGAATTACTGTTGGCTAGGAAGGGTGGAAGAGTAGTTTGGTGTGTTTGGTTGTACAAGGCACAGCATGAAAGGATATTAGACTGTGGCTGGGACTCTGCCACAACAAAAATAACAAATAACAGTAACAGATTCAAGGTCTTGATCCTGCAGTCAGATGCAAACAGTTCTCAAAAAGGGTAGACTACAAGAAATGGAAGTATCATTTTATTCCAGCTTGATTCAGAACTAAAAGGCTGCTCACTTGTATAGATCTACTATGTGGCCAACAACCATAGTAATCCTATTAATTCTGTAATATGTAGTAGGGAAAAAAATCCTGTTGGAACTACCTCCTTGTTGGATGTATGTTGGCCTCATCATAGTTTACCAAGGAGGCTCCGACATGCAGGCTTGGAGGCGCAAGTGAAGCGCTAAGAAATGCAAGGCCTGTGTTTTCAGTCTGGCTTTGTTGCTGTTGCCTTTTCACTTTTAAAATTAAATTGCTGCTTTGCCTCAGTTACTCCAGCTGCACGAGTAGAAAAATATTTATTTGCCTGTCTTCTAGACGTGTTGTGAGGATTGTTATAATCATGTTTGTAAAGTTCATTATATTACCCCAGTTTGTCTGCATTTTATTGTATATACTGATGACATGCTTTGAATCCTAGTAGATCATGTGAAGGATAATAAATAAACTAATAATCTCTTAAACCATCCAGTGATAACATAAAAGTAGACAAAGTTTTGAATGATTGTTTATTCTTATTTTCCTTTTAAATTAGGTAAGTGATGATCAAAAATAATAGTGTAAAAACCTGAAGCTCTTTAGACCATGAAGCATAGGCTTTTTTGCACTTCTCTGTTATTAAATATACTGCTGAAGTACTTCAGTTTCCACCAGGATAGTTGATGGAAATGACTGCTACAATCCTGATTATTATCCAGTCTTCTTTTTCCAAGCTGGCCTAGATGGTCTTACTCCTGTTCAGATATTGTTCCACATCACAATTAGATCTGCCAAAGTCAGTCCTTGCGCTTGTTCTGAGTGCTACAAAAAGTAGTGCAAACATTTATTTCTCCATAATACCAGTAAACCTGTTTATGAGAAAGTGGAAAGATATTTAAAGACTAGTTTGTCAGATTATTCTAACAAAAAAACACTGCCCTGCTAAAACACGGGATCCTTTTGTGTTTGTATGCCCAGGGAGAGATTGGCAGAGAGATGTACATCATTAAACAGGGCGAAGTTCAAGTCCTTGGAGGCCCTGATGGTACAAAGGTCCTGGTTACGCTAAGAGCAGGATCTGTATTTGGGGAGATCAGGTAGGTCCATTGCTATTTTTAACACTTTCTTTAGAACTGCTCAAATAATCAATGGTTGTTTAACTGCTCTGTGGTAAGCATGACAGCTACCATGGGGAGGCTGGAAAGTTGGTAGGATCAACCAAGACGACACTGAGCAAGAAGATGCAGGTAAGTGAAGGAAAATCTAAGTGAAACATCAGAGACCAATTTGGCAAGATCGAGACCAGTGTTTTGGGCAATGTACGCAGGGATATACACACAGATTTCTCCTTCAGCATTTAAAAGCTTTAACACATCTTCCTGTTCTGGGGTCTGCAATACAGCAGGACCAAATGCATTTTATTGCCTTTAGAGTGAGACTAGGTGCCCTTACACAGCAGATGGTAAAAATGATAATTAATTTCCAACAAAGGAGGTAAAAAATCTAAAATAGCAAATAAGCCTGGTTCATTTAGGAGCTGAAGTAGGGATTAAGTTGCCAAAAGTCAGGCATCCACATTTGAAAATGTATTTGTTTAAGAGCATACAAAACAAGAAAAAGGCTGACAGACCAGATTTTTGGGTATGAGTTTATCTGGAGGAGAAAATTTTTATCAGGTGGTTACAAATGCTTTTTATATTTTCCATGTGGTTGCTATGCAAAATCCATTAACTCTTATGGGCCATGTTCCCCAATTAGCCAACCAAGTGCTAGATTTTAGGCACTGCATCCCCTGCTGAGGTTGGCCTGAGGAAAAGTAATAAAATACATGTGCTGCTGCATGTGATAAACTGGATTCTTGATTTCTTCCAGCTGCCTTCCTGTTATTGTTAATCCTCTTGCTGGTAGCTTTAATCTGCCTTTTGAAAAGCGGTAATCAGCTCTGTGCCAGGTTTACATTTATCTTCTACTTGTGTCCCCCTTTGTGGTAGAGGAAATATTCCCGTTTATCCAGTGACGTGCGTACAGAACTTGCTTAGACTTCAAGTGGAAAACACCTGATATATCCCATAGATACAGACCTTTTTCATTGAGTGGGAAAGTGAAATTATATCAGCTCTTTGAGAGAAGGTTATTTGAAAGGTATTTCTCTGTGTGACAATATAATACCTGAGCAAAGCCTGAAAACAAAATGCTGTGTTGTAAGTTATGTGGAAAGGCTGAGAATGCACTGGTTTTCAGTCAGGGCTGAATAATGAAAAGGTAAAAGAAAAAGCTACAGCAGCCCAGATATGTAACACGCACATGGTTTTCAATTATTTATGTCTTGTACTTGGAGCGAGGACTTTCTTTTCTAAACAGAGAAGTGATAATGGTCGGTTTTAAAACAAGGAAGGGATTTTCAAACTTTTTATCTAATACAGGTCAGCACTTGTTTCCACGTGAGAACTACACAACGGCCTTTAAAGATTCATTTCCCAGTATGTATTAGTTTTTACATAATTGCCAATATGGCCAGTAAAACCCTCAGCAGTGCTATAACCCTACACTTCTAGTCTTGCTTTATTCATCATTGACCTAGTGTGGCAGCATACCAGTTCAGACATGTGTAATTTGCATATAAATGACAGATAGTGGATAAACTCAAGGAGAAAATACACAGCAACTGGCAGACTTTTCCAAAATTGAAGAAAAGCAAGTACACGAAGCACTACGTGTATTGGTAGAGACTTATCCTCTTCCTTGTGGTGAAGCATTAGAAAAGAATGAGTTTGTATAGAACCTCTCTATAAGTTTTGTCAAGTTCTCCTGAATACTATATAGCAGAAGAAAATGAAAAAAACCTATTCTTTAATGGATAAAATATTGCTTCATTTAGCACATCCAAGTTTTCCCCTCAGTATTCATAGTGTGGCTATCACCCGATATCAGGCTGATTTCCTTCTGATTTCTGATTCAAGATTTGTTTAGAGAAATATGTCAGCTTCATTCCGAGTGGTTTAACTACATGATTTATAAGGCACTTGCTATTTAATTTCACTCTGTTCAAAATGCATGTAAATGATGCTTAAAAAGTCTCTGAGGGCAAAGGAGTTGAAGAAAACAAAAAATGTTTATTTCAAAAAATTTCCCTGAATTATACTAGAAGACCAATGCAAGACTAATGTCAAACAAGTCCTTTGCCAATTTCATCCTTGAAAATTATTACAGAAACAGATTAAGTAATTGGAGTTGCCTTCCAATTAACATCTCACTCTCGTTACCACTTTCCTGTATAGATAATATCAGTTTGGGGAAGCAAAATAATCTCAGAATCAGAGGCAAACAGATTGCTGCCTTAATGAGAGCCTGTCTGCACAGACAATTGAGAAAGAGAGAAATTTAACTATAACACAACAATTCATTAGCCCAGAGAAATTTACACTCTTAAGCCAGATGTCCTCATTCATCCGTTTACTGTTATTTCACTAGAACAATTTCCTATCAGAAAATGGTAATTCAATTAAAATATTTCTCCATTATATGTAAATTTTTGACAGGAAGATCTCTTAAATGCTTGGTCTCAGCTTTAGCCTTTCAGCTGTTGTGTAACTTTAACTTTTATTAAAAAAAAACAATCAAAACTAAAGGGAGTATTTAGCTTTATGAAAGATTACATTTTCCACTTTGGCCCAGGATTTCCCACAAAGTGGCAGCTGCTGCTTTTCAATGAGCTCTTCCTTTTGGTGTCTGACATCCTGCTCAGAAGCAAGATCCAGACCTATTTCCCTTTCCTGACTTACCAGTTCTCTCCATAAGCACATAGGTGCCGAGCTGAGCCACAAAAACCCTGCACCTTCAGCTGATACACATGCCATTCCCTGGATCAATTTGCTAATTTCAATGAACAGCAGCTTCCTACAGAGATCAGGTATTAAAAAAAAAAAATAGATAAAGTGAGTCATCACTCTGACAACTTTATACATCTAAATTAAATTTGCTAGCATAAAAATTCAAAAGTTATCATCGCATACTAATATGAGAGCATTTCAGTCTAACAACTGGAGTAAAAAAATGTAAGGTAAAAAAAGCAAATTTCTCAATTAATATAAATATTCAATTATCAAGAACCACTGCAAGGCAAATGTAGTTATTCTTTAAAATTTCGTCTGTCATGTAACACAGCACAGTAGCCAAAACAGATTCAATGATGAAGTCCATAATATGTCCTTAGTCAAAGATGATTCTGTTTGAGCAAGGATTACCTTACTTGTAAAATTCACCTCATATCATCACCGTAATAAAAAAGTTGATCTCTTTAGCCCTAGTCTGCCTTGATAAAATGATCTTTCTGTTAGGAAAGCCTGAAAATGATTGTTCAACGACTTGTTGAGAAGTGATTCATCAGAACTCAAAATCTGTTTGCAATTTTCTTTAGCTGCTTTTCTTATTGTGCAAATAGTTTTATTCTGTCTGAGGAGTTGTACAGAATTGTTTAAAAAGAAGACAATATACTGCATTTTCAGCTGGAGTTCATATATTGCTATCTTGGGTTGCAGAAAAACATTGTGTCTGCGTCTGTGTGTGTCTGTGTGTGTCTGTGTGTAAAAATAGCCTTGTACACACAGTTGCAGAGGTCTTATACTTTTCTTTATAAATCAAATTTAATATATTATCTGTATGATCTAATATTTATAAATATGTTCTATAAATGCCTTTAATATTAAAACCAATATTTATATATCCTTGATTAATATTTTGGGTAAGTATTAATTCATGTTTTATAGAGTCCAGTCTATCCTTTATTAATAACATTTAAATTTAGGGATTACTAAATATTCTCTAAAAATATTAGCTCACTGGGAAATATTTAAGGGACAAATTTTAGGGTAGATCTCCTTGAATACAGTGATAAAGCAATTTTAGTACTAAGACCAAAATGCAACTTCTCTTGCTTATCACCACAACTGAGAAGTGAAGTCTCTTCATTTCATTTGCCTAATGCAAGATGAACAATTTAATTTTTATTTGTACAACATGTAATTTTTATGTGGATATCCTTCCTATGGCCAACTGCTGCTTGCTAAACTGGTCTAATGCCTTACTTTCAAAACAAAATAGCCTTCTTTTTCTGGCAGACACATTTGTAACTGTCAGCTTGAAAGACCTTCCTAATCCATATCATTCAACTTGCCAACTTCAAAAGTGAAATGTGGTATGTGAGAAAACTGAAAACCAGAATCCCACAGAAGTTGTTCACTCAGGAAAATTAAAATTCTTAGAGAATCATTCATTCATTGTAAATAACTCTTTCAATAATAATGGACTTGTGCTGCTCTACCTCTGATGTAAATCATTTTCAACCACAAAATTGAGGAAATGCCAAGTTCACATGAGGATAAAACAAATGCAGTTCTTGCAGTGAGTGTTTCTTGGGAGAAATGTCTCTATCTAGCAAGACTTTTCACAGTCCTTAGCATCTACATATGTGTGACTAGTCGTGACAATTTGCCTTCCTGAGGCAAGAAGATATTTCTAATCCCAACTGCAAAGGGACTTTACAAAACATCAGATAGAACAGTTGAGTATGTAAGTGAGCTTTACGACGACTTTAACGGAGAACCACCAGCAAAGAGATTCCTCACTAGGGCAAGTAACGATGTGACTGATTATGTTTATTTTCATTCCAGCCTATTAGCTGCAGGTGGAGGAAATCGAAGGACTGCCAACGTGGTGGCTCATGGTTTTGCCAACCTTTTCATTCTGGACAAGAAAACACTCAATGAAATCTTGGTGCACTATCCTGACTCAGAAAAACTTCTCATGAAGAAAGCAAGGTATATCCTAATAACAGTTTTTAAATCACGTTATTTAGCTGCAGAATGGACAGTTGTGGCTTCTAGGCAGATTTGCATTCCTTTCTTGGAAGAGTAGCAGATGTAAACACATTTGTATTTAAAGGTCAGATTTGTCTGTTAGTATCTAGTGGAAGTCATGGTCTTGGCAGGGATTCCAAGGGTCGTGGAAATGTGGTAAGTAGAATGGAGTCCTGAATGTAGTTGTCTTCTCCATTGTATTTAAGGTAACAAAACAAATAGGAGATACAGATGCATATCAGGACTCCATACGTAGTTAAGAAAGAAACTGCAGGACAGATGTCAGTGAAGAAGTAAGTTTTCAAAGATGCAACCAAACACTCACAATTAATTCTACAGAGATATGCTTCAATGTACCCACAGACTTGTATCCATTTCCAAAACCTTAAGCAGTGGTTAGGAGTGGATTTAAATTAAGGCTCAACAAGATGGAAGTACACAGATTAGAGAGGTGTGCATTTTGTTCAAAAGGATTCTGAAATGGGATTTCAAACCCAAACTGCTTTTCATCTTGCTTTGGCCGTAGCTTGCTAGGATCACCATTTCCCCAGCTTTGAAAGGGCAAAATATTGTCAGATTTTGTCATAAAATTATGGCAAAATGAGTACCTTGCTACCTTGTAAAAGATCCAAATACATCAAATAGTTTGTCGTTATTAGTATACTTCAGCACTCTTATTGCTCTCAGCCGTTGCCTTGCATTGCTATCAAAGGTTGGAAGGTTGGTCCCAGACTTGAAATTCCACCAGAGAAGACTAAACATAGCACAGGAGTGACACTTGTTTAGGGAAGTGCGAGCAGATGGTTGCATTCAGCATGTTTCAACAGCCCTGGTTGTCAAATGACAGTATCTTGAAAATCACCACATCCCTGAGGAACAAGCATTTATCCTTCCTGACTTTTCTCCATCTTCTTTCTAAACAGTTGTATGACCATAGTTACTTGTTACTCCTGTCTCTCTGTCCTACACTACTTTCTTCTGCTTTCTTGCCCACCCTAATCATATCCTGCCAACCCATTAAATTCAGCTTCCTCCAGACAGATGGTTAATAATGATCCATCCTTCGTATCTGCACTCCCATTTGGGCCCAAAGCCCTCTCTAGGTATCAGCCTAGATACAGGATATCATGTTTAATTTTAAAGATATGCAGTACCTGCCCTGTGCTGGAGGCCGTGTATTCTGCTCACCTGTCTAGGCATCCACTAATTCTTCCAAAAATCCTGTGCTCTATGTATGTCCAGCCATGTCTCTAGAAAAACTAGGCACCAACAGGAGATTCGTGCATTGTTTTGATAAAGATTGCAGTTATGTTCAGTTTTGGAATCAAGTTATCAGTTGCTCTGTCCTGGAAGGTTTACATTAGAGTTCTCTGTAGGATTGCATTGGCCATCCCACATTTTTAAAGGGCTCCTTGAAATAAACTCAAAGGAGTTATTCAAGCAAGAAATTTGTTCTATTATCACCTGCCTGATAATCACTGTACGGTCTTTACATAATAAACCACGCAAGCTGCTGAAGTGTACTTTTTAAATTCATGACAACAAAACTTAGAAAAAGTAAAATCTTCACTTCTGAAATTCCCAAAATTACAAAGTACAAGATGCTGAAGAAAATTATAGTATTATGTGATTTACTGTACTTCAGACTGCAAGTATAGTCCTTGTTCATAAAAAGCCTTAAGTCAGAGCTTTTGCAAGAACAGAAAAGTTGCCTTGAAAACTATACTGTAACTTAATAGAAATTGAAAGCACGGGACCCCTCTGCTTTTCACTGTTTCCATCTGACTTAGAACTGTCATCTAATCTTTACCCTCATCATTCATTCTCACTTCTTGTTGTTATGGTTGCAAATCAGTACAGCTATGGAAGGGTGTGAAAATCCAGTCTGCCACATGATTGGCAGTAATTTTTATATCTTCAGTGTATCTTCTTCTACTGAAGAAGACCAAAAATAAGTACCACTGTCTAACCTGACCTATGAGAGATGAGCCATGATGAGTTAATTTGGTAAACTATTACTTCCACAAGCATCAGCTGGACTCCAAATTGAGCATTAAGCGCTCTCTGGATTTGCCGCCATAAGGCCAGGTAAGAGACTTTCACCTCAGGTATGAGGCATCCATCCCCCTTCACACTACTTCTCACCTTATAAAACTCTCATCTGCTTTGCGACACCTTAATTTGAGCCTGTGTTTGTTTATTCTCCACGTTATAGGTAAGCAATTGGCTGCTCATGGCTTGGACGGACACATTCTTCTCTGGGTAAAAAACTTGCTGGATGGCTGGGCCCAAAGAGTGGTTGTGAATGGAGTTAAATCCAGCTGGCGGCCCATCACAAGTGGTGTTCCCCAGGGCTCAGTTTTGGGGCCAGTCTTGTTCAACATCTTTATCAACGATCTAGATGAGGGGATTGAGTGCACCCTCAATAAGTTTGCAGATGACACCAAGCTGGGCAGGAGCGTTGATCTGCTCAAGGGTAGGAAGGCTCCACAGAGTGATCTGGACAGGCTGGATCGATGGGCCAAGGCCAACTGTATGAGGTTCAACAAGGCCAAGTGCCGGGTCCTGCACTTCGGCCACAACAACCCCATGCAGCGCTACAGGCTTGGGGAAGAGTGGCTGGAAAGTTGCCCAGAGGAAAAGGACCCGGGGATGCTGGTTGACAGCCGGCTGAACATGAGCTGGCAGTGTGCCCAGGTGCCCAAGAAGGCCAATAGAAAGAGCGCGGCCTTTTCCAATCTAAACGATTCTATGATTCTATGATTCTAACTCCAAATTTGAACAGTAGCCTCAACTCTACCAGAGCCTAGGGTAAAACCCTTACCCTTTCCAGCTTTGCTTTTGCCACTGGACCTGGGACAAAAGAAAATTTGCTGGAAAAGTTGCCAGATTTTCATCCGTGAATGTGACATTTTAGCTTTGCAGGAACTTTGCTCGGTTTCACAGCCCTGCTGCCTGTTCCCATTCCTTCCTGTCTCCAGGGTGCTGCTGAAGGAGAAGGGGAAACCTGCTCCAGGACCACCAGCGCAAAAACCACAGGGCTTGGCCAGTCTGTTTGGGCAAAAACAGGAAACTCCAAAATTGTTTAAAGCGATCCTTGGAGGTAAAGGAAAACAAGGCCTTGCTAGGCTGCTGCAGCTGAAGAGAGAACAAAGCATTCAGGTAATGCCACAGAAAATAGTGTAGACAATTCCAGGACCTGAAGAGGGAAACAGGAAAGATACTGGGAGGGCCTGGGCAAACAGAGTAGATGAAAATGTAGCCTTACTGCAATCAACAGCAAAAACTGCCAGTAGCTGAGATATAATCACTGTACCTAATCTCTGTAAACACTAATTCTAAAATTTGGCTCAAATCTTCCTGGACCTGGATTCCATGCAGAGCAGAGAAAATAAAAGCAAAGAAAAAGAAAGGAAAAAAGCAAGCAAACAAAAATCCTCAAAGAAAGTAAGGATAAAATAGAATTTACAAAGACCCTAAGGGCATCTGATCTTCTAATTTTATGTAAACAACAGTAAATACAGAAATATCCTAACAGTAATCTGATCCAGCTGACTCAAACACACAGTGAACTTTCCAATTCAGAGTCAGATTTTTGGTTGTCACAAATCCTGAAGACAAAATTTGAAGTTTAGCCAACACAGCTAAAACTGATTAAATCTCTAATATATTGCACTTATGAGAAAACTGTTATTTTAGTTGATGAAAAATAATTCCCATATTATACTCTGTTCTGAGAAATGTTAATGTTAATAAGAACCTGCTCAGTTCTACATATTTACCCAAAGGTAGCAGAATTCTTTTCTGTCTTTATAGCTGAACTGGCAGTGGTTTTATTTATTTTTTTAAGTTAAATAAAGAACTTTGCTTACACAAATGACTACGACTTTATGATTGGAACAGAAACATTGCTCAATTTAATGTGTATTTGTGAACTTAATAGCAAATAGGCTTGGTCAAGGAACTGGGGCACTGGGCAATATGTCAAGATTTACTTAACACTTTTTCTTTTTATACTGGTGTAAGTACATAAAGGAAGGCAAGACCTAAGGAAGGGTTGTCTGCCCCAAAACATGCCTGTTTCATGCTGCTGTATTAATAAGAAGCAGATACTATCACTATCTACAAGCTTTTCCTAGGTTTTATGTTGATGTCCAGATTCTGAAATTGCATTTTTCATTTAGAAACTGATTTTCAGCGTCTAAATACAATTTTACATACGTTGTATATCATTAATCACAGTATCCATGCTGTGCCTTTCCACTGCATATACAGAATGGAGCTACTTCCTGAATTTCTTCTGCAGCATTGGAAAATATTTAACTTCTTGTTTCTAGGAAACTCAAGCTGAAGCAGAGAGTAAGCCTGAACAAGAGGAGAAGAAACCCGCGGAGCCCACGGCCTCATCTGCACCCCTTGCACAAAAGGAAGAGCCGAATGCAGATGCTAAGCCTAAACCACCTGCAGTTATGCACAGAGGAACCACTAATGAGTCTCTGATCATTACTATGACTCCATCCCCCAGAGCAGGAGAAGGAGAGATCCTTAAAGTTGAAGTTAAAGAGAAATAAAAGAAATAGATGGTGCTTTGGGCTGTGGTTCCATCTACTGTCTTGCTGAATTCAGAGGGCTAGCGTGACTTTGCTTTTGGGTACAAAAGATTAAAAGTCTACCCCAGCTCCTGTTGTTCTCTTCCTCCTCTCCTGAGACAACTGGACAAATTATTTATATACTTACCTCTTAACCTTGAGCCTGAAGAGAGAACTTCTGGTTCTTCTCTTCCTCTAATAGGAATTAGAGCTCAGACTATGTTTCAGGACCACCTGTTTCTTGTTTGATCCATGCTCTCCTTTATCTGTTACTCTGTCTTGTTCCTGCTTCTCCTCTTCCCTCTCCTGTCTATCCTCGCTTTCTTATTGCTGTTCCTATTGCTCAGTTTGCTCTTCATTTTTGCATGCGTTCTTTTCTGTTTTCTTTTCTGGTTTCCCATAGTTATCCTTTTTCTTCTTACTGCCCTACTGTTGCTGAGGTTCCTTACGTTTCTCTCGATCCTCCTCTCTCCTCCATTTATCCTTCTAATCAGCGACCTGCTTTTGTGACCAGCATGGCTCTGTGCAGAAAGCTGTGATGCTGTGTGTTGGGATGTTTCAGCTTGGGACAGAGGGCTACAAAACACAACCATTGTCAAAAGGTAAAATCACAAAATACACAACGGGGAAGCAGATTGCAGAATTATTGCCAGCCTTTTGAAAGCACAAGCATCTGCTCCAGTTGTATTTGACGCTGGTGAATAAACATGGCAAAGACTTAGATATTCCCCCACCACCCCAGGGGTGACCTTTAACTTTGGGCTGCCGATTTACACGTTTGATCTTCTCAAGGGGTTGGGCATTAATAATGCTCTCTGAAGAGCAAGCAGTTGATACTAATTTTTTGAAGAATCTCGGTATCTAAACTGGCTACTTCAAAAATAAAGGCTACTTTACAAAAAGCAGAATCTACACTTTCTGGCTCTGTGGTGCATACTTTCACCCAATGCTTCAGTTGTTCACCTCCATCATAGACCTCGATTGATGGTGCAAAGCGAGCCCCGTGCCTTACCAGGGCTGAGCTACGTCGTACCTGTGAACTAAAGCAAATCCTTTACCAGCACCACAGCTGAGAGGGCTACAGCTGTCTGACAAGGAGCTCCCACACCGCCAACCTTCTGCATCGACTCATCACAGGAAGGGATGCAATATTAAACAAAAGGCTGAAGCTGTGTTTTAAGCTTAATTATCAATTACTTTTTTCTCTTCTACGGGTTTGCGTCTCCTCTCTCTCCCTATCCACTTTCAGTCCCCACTGGATGAACAGTTTTGGGAACTAAAACCATTATGCAGAGCCCAAGCCAAGAAATCGTAAGGGCAGGCTTCACAGATCCTCAGCTGACCAGCCAACCAAGGAAGGCAACACGCCAAAATTAAACAATTCACTTTGCAGGCTATATATGATCCTGCGGGCTGTGCATTCTGTAGGCCTGTTCTTTAAAGCCTTTGAACTTCTCTAATCACACGCAAAGCTGGCAGCCCAACCAGAATCAGTGGGAGCTTTGCCTGAGTAAAAGCTAGATGATTTAATTCTATATGTTGTGTATTCCACACATTCTCTGAGATGACCAAAACCCAAGTCTCTTTCAAAAAGAAAGTTCTGTTAGCAGTGAGGTCAAGGTTCAACTGCTACATGGGAAGAACCATCTTTATTTGTATGTTACTTGTTATTTGATATGTAAGAAAAAAGGATGTCACAACAGAGGTAGAAAATGGTAAGATGCATCACAAAGAATTATTCATCTGTTGCACATCCAGGAACGTCTCAATAAAATCTCAGAATTAGAAATATTGCAGAACTGCTTCACAAATGAGGCCTTCTGTGAATAATCATGATCTATGAATTCACTACAATATATGGTTCTCACACCTTTTTTTTGAGAGAGTGTTGTCAAAACATTACTGTGCTGGTTTAGGCTGGGGTAGAGTTAATTTTCTTCACAGTAGCTAGTATGGGGCTGTGTTTTGGGTTTGTGCTGAAAACAGTGTTGATAACACAGGGATGTCTTCGTTACTGCTGAGCAGTGCTTACACAGAGTCAAGGGCTTTTCTGCTTCTCACACCACCCCACCAGCGAGGAGGCTGGGGGTGCACAAGGAGTTGGGAGGGGACACAGCTGGAACAGCTGACCCCAACTGACCAAAGGGATATTCCATACCGTATGACATCATGCTCAGCATATAAAGCTGGGGGAAGAAGAAGGAAGAGGGGGATGTTCGGAGCAATGGTTTTTTGTCTTCCCAAGTAACCGTTACGCGTGAGGGAGCTCTGCTTTCCTGGAGATGGCTGACCCCCTGCCTGCCGATGGGAAGCAGTGAATGAATTCCTTGCTTTGCTTTGCTTGAGTGCGCGGCTTTTGCTTTACCTATTAAAGTGTCTTTACCTCAACCCATGAGTTTTCTCACTTTTACTCTTCTGATTCTCTCCCCCATCCCACCACGGGGGAGTGAGCGAACGGCTGTGTGGGGCTTAGTTGCTGGCTGGGGTTAAACCATGACAATTATGGAAGGGGGAAAAAACATAAACCCCCATATTTTAACATTTTTATATTAACGAGTAAAGCTCTCTCTCATTGCAAAAGATCCGATCCCCTTCCGCGTACACAAATGCTACCAGGTAACTTCAAACATTTTCACTGTTGGCATATTTAAGTTCATCAATCACACACTGATATATATTACAAGGTAAGGGCTGAGACTGCAGTAGCCAGCATTACACTGCAGCAACAGAGCATCCCACGAGTTGCTGCTTTGCTACAGCTCTTAACAGCTCAGGATTGCAGGAAAGCCAGTCAGTTCTGTCTGCAAAATTACCAAGTTATGCACAGCTCTCAAGTTCCTTAGACCCAAAACGAAAGAGGAGACATGTCAGTGTTTGCAGAAGATCATGGCCATACAGAATTAACATTCATCTGGTTTTCTCTGACATCCTACCTTTCTCTTGTTGGACTATTTTTCCCTTCCCAGAATCCCTCCATTTTTAGAGGTGGGCAGGGGCAGGAAGGGTCCAGGAAACCGTAGGAAACTATGTATAGGGTTTTCACCAGAAGGAATGACACAAGAGAGGTCAAGATATAAGATGTATTAAATCCTTTCAGGAACTAATTCTACTCTGTGGATTCTTTACTGGTGGAGAAGTCGAATGAATTACTCTAGAGGACTTAGAAGATGCAACTTCCAGCATCAAAGCTCACTCAGGTTCTGTATGGCATCGCACTCCGCTGCAACGCTGTGTCTCTAGTATCTCTCAGTTTCCCAATAAAACATCTCAGACTCCATACACTTGAATGTAAAGAAACTGAAGGGTGGAGTAGGACGATGTATTTGAAAACTAAAAATAACCAAATCTCCATGCCTCTCTACTTAAAATGTAGACACTGTTCTCGGAAAACCTGAAAATAACTGTATGAAATAGCATCCATGGGAGAATGCTAACGTGGTGAAGAGCATGAAACACTCACTGCTAAAACTGTCCAATTTCAGAATATCTTCTTGCTAAAAGCCAGGATGAGATGCTTTATGAAATATACACTGCACATTCATAACCACTGAGTGAAAAGGCATTTTTCTTCTCATCTGATAATACTTGTTATAAAACTGAGCTGTTCAGCCTGTGGAATACTTATCAAAGGAACTGCAAAAGCAGCATTTATCATTACATAGGAAATGCTGAATACAAAAGCACAACGGAAGAATAGTATACTGAAATTATATTTTTAATGCATAGGCATTGTAAATCAGTCAACTTAATCAGAACTGAAATACATAGGAAAGTAAAAAATTCTGGTTACAGGTTATTTCTCTGCTGTACATATGTATATATTACGACCATTAAGTGGCAAAAAGCATCTGATTATAAAGACTGCTATACATCATTTTTATCACAAGGTGGTGCAAGTGACCTACAAGCACATTCGCTTTACAAAACTTTGACAATATTTTGCTTTGTCACCCTCAAGCTAATAAGGTGGTTTTTACATATAAAAATAAACAAACAAAAAATGGCACAACAACAAAGTAACTCCCCTGCCCCCTGACTCACAATCTGCTGCATTCCTTGACTCAGAATATTGCTTCAGCCTAACTTGGAAGTTCCCAAATTTTCCAGCAGGCTGTTAGCTGTACACCTCTAAGAAAAGTTATACCGGGAAAATGGTTCTTGCCGCTGTCAGGTCTGAAACACTTTTCTTTTACACAGAATAGGGCACATTGAGAAGTAGGTGTCGCTGATACGCTATTTAATTCCCTAAGCTTGAGGAATATGGGGGCACTTTTCCAACAAGAGATAATGAACCCTCTACTGTGGAAACTCAGAATTTATGCATAGAATACAGACAAAACAAAAGGGTTTATGTATTTTATATGCAGCAGATATTTAGTATAATAATACCTTTTAACATACTTAAATGCATTTAGATGCACTTCCATGGCAACTTAAAACAGAATTGGTAACAGAACTCAGATGTAGCATTATATTTTTGGCAGAGAGCTCAGAGAAACTTCAGTAGTATCCTGTACTCCTATCAGTAGTACTCATCCACGTCAATGAACCTAGAGGAAGCATTAATACTGCATCCAGTTATCTCTGTACATGGAGCAGGTAGCTGTGAAAGAGTTTACTGTTCCAAAATCATACGATATCAATTTGCAGCAGTGTGATTTAAGTTCATTATAACTAATTCCTTGATCTTAATATTTTGTGTTGCATATCTGGCATGATACTTCATTATAATTTATATATAAAGTAGTAACACATTTGCACTACACTGGCAAAAAGATGACTGTAAATTTTTATATAAACAAACACATGAATTAGATTTCAAAAAAGAAAGAGCTTGGCTTAATATGAAACAAAACCTCTTTCTTAGTATTCCACTACTGAAATTACTTAGGACCTGCTTCCACCAAGGAAAACGGAGTGGAGAATAACATATTCATCCATGATTGATAACTAGTCAACTGTGTACAAAACATTTGTTATGTTTTACAGGATGTGTAAGACAATTTCAATACATGCATCTTTCATCTATCAATGTTAATGTGAATTCAGATTTTTGACAGGATTATACATGTATGGAGGAAAAAAAAAAAAAAAACAACAAAAACAACCACACCACACAGAGCAGCTCCAGCAACTAAAAAAAGTCACATACAAAGTCACATACACTAGGAACTGGTGCAATCTTGAGTGCCCAAGTATGCTAAATTTAATGTTAGTCCATTCTGTTCTTACATGTTACACCTAGACCATCCAAAATCAGATCAGTTGGATGTTTAACTCTAAACCACTTCAAATGTGAAACTGCAAAATTAATGTTCAAGATGGGCATTTTGAAAGTGATAAATGAGACCTTTACATCCACTTACGTTACAGGCACTGACAGGATCAGAAGAGATCCGCAGCAAGCAGTATGCAACTGGGAGACAAGAAAGCTTCATCTGTCCACTAAGCAAACACAACATGATTTACACTTGGTGTAAATGGTGAAGAGAAAACTCAAGCCAAGAAACTACATGAGAAATTGTTTGCCCTAGAGAGAAATGCAGTATGATTATAGGATTAGAGCTTAGAGACTTTCTTACATCTTCCTACTGAGAGGGAAGAGGGAAGATTGGTTTTTTTGTAGGCACTTTTCATTAGTGAACTCATGAAAAAGAAGCATGATTCAAAATATGACAAAACCAATATAAATTAAGTAGCACTTTCAAGAACTGTCTTTGCTTGAAAATACGCAGTTATAAATCAGAAAAAACTTTTTTACTGAAAAGTGAATTCCTACTTCACAAAAAGCCCTTTAAAGATCAATAGTCATGACTATTTTACAGAAAAAAAAAAACAAACCAAAACAAAACCCCAACCAAAATAAAATCTGGAGTTCCCTTTTTCCAGCCCAGTACACCCTGAAACACATCTTACAGCCTTTACAGTAGTAGTCTCAAAGGCGAATAGTAAGTATTTTTTTGAGATGTTAGAGGTTTACCTTGATTCACCCTAATTATTCCTGTACTACCTTAAGAGACTACATAAGAATACTACAAAAGAATATATAATTTAATGACTTGTTTGGCTCATGTTCACACAATCCTGAATCCCAGGCATTGGCCAAAGGCACTGAAGTGGCAAATCTGAAGTAGGCGTGCAAGGAGGGCCTTTACACTCTGTTCTGGCACTCATCTAATCACGAAACTCCTGTGACACAATTTTGTTATGGTGGCTTAGACACAGAAGCCTGAAGTATTCCAAATTCATTGAAGGACATACAAACTTTTATCTGCTTGGTGGGGATATACCCTTTTTTTCATATGATCACTGAGAAACTACAGTCCTCAGTGCTGATCCCCACAAAAGTAACTGAACACTCCCACTGGCCATATTTATCAAACAGGCAGCTGTTCCACTTCCAGCCGTTCCCCCCCTTCTCTCTGCATATTCAACCTCTTTTTTTCCACTCTTACTTTTCCAAATAAAATGCACCCATGTAGCCCTATCTCTTCAATCAACATCAAATATTAACACAATTACAGTTTTGGCCCTTAAAAGGCACACTTGGCAGAGTGATTTGCAGGCAAAAGTAACATGTTACCACACAGAAGTGTGTGTATACATGTATACAGAAGTATCTTGAGAACCAAAGTCTGTAGATACAGCAAGTAAAGCAAGCACAAAGTCTCAGCTCCCCTGCTCAGCCCATTCACTTTGCAGCAGGATTCTTAGGCGGTTGCAGTTTGTAGGTGCTGAAGTAGTTCACCACTTGCTGAGGGACTTCTGCCAAGACGCACTGTGCCAGAGCTTCTTTGGGAGACTTATAAAAAAAAAGAACACCAAGTTTCAGTTTCCACCAACTGTTAAAGGAGATCCTAGGACAGGTAATAAGTACCTCCTCTACTAGGCCAATTTAAAGTCTGACATTTTACAGAGGACTTTACACAACGCCCTTGTGGGACAGCTGGAAGACTCCCTGACATCTTTACCTTCTCTCTCCCCTTACCAGGAACCAGCTGGCTGCCTTGTTCCACTGAAGTAATAGGAGCTGGGTGCACAAAGGGCTGCCATGCCTGAAGATACCTTTCGTCATATGAAATACACATACGCACAGTTCAGACGTCAAACTTCAGCCATGTAAACACACTTCCACTATCTGCTTAAGATGACCTTTCACGGGCTTGTCTAATCAACTGCAACCTTTTGCACCAAGCGTCATCCACAGTAACTGTATTGCTACAGAGCAGCTCTTCTAGAGATACTGTTTTTACTGTAAGACTAAGTATCCATGAGAAAAAAAAGCACCCCTTTTTCTAGAAACTGAAAGCATTTGAATATATAATTATATACTGAATATTGACCCTAGTTAATTTACATCCAAGTGCATTATTCAGTATGCATATTCTACACTGATTTTGCTCTTTCCCCTTTTCGTTTGCCTGACTTGCTCTGAGATTAAACAAAGAACTTGTATCAAAAGTAAAAATAAAAATGCAAAGACAAAATAAGGAGGTATAGAGAGTATTAACAGGGTTAATATTAAGAAACAACAAAAAAGTAGAACGTATCAGGATGGAAATAAAAATATTGATCTTATTTTCCCCATCCTGAGGAAATTGGTGGGTTTTTTTTTTTTAAAATCAACTTTTTCCAGCAATATAACATTTAAAAGCCGGGCTATATTAGCCTGTGCATATCTTATTGGGTTCTACAGCAAAAAATCAGGACTCCATTCTTTCACCACCTATTTTTTTGGCATATTACCTTTAATGAAAATGAAAACTATCACCACTATTGTGCCCACACAATTTCTACTGATTACAACCTCCCTGATTTAGTCTTGAATTTTAACACTGCACTAAAATGTGAGACTAATCCACATTTACAAGTGGGCATCCACAATAAAAAAACCACTGTTCCATAAGAACAAAATCACAGTAAGTTCTTCCTCCCAAATGAAAAACACATCCATTTGTTTAGTCAAGTCTGAGGGAGATTTACAAAGGTCATTCCCCTGCAGCAACTTGTCAGAAATGCAGTGCTCAAACCAGAAATGGAGTCTTTTTAAACATGAATCAGGTCACCTAATGGAAATTCTACAGATGCTGAAGTCTTCTGTCCTTTTTTTTTTTAGCATTTGATAAAGACTTATCTCAAGACTTCAGAGTTCATTTTAGAGACACTGCAAAAGCTTAGGACTATACGTAGAATATCCTAGCAAACCCAGCATACCTCTACAATATTTACTAAGCATACCATTAAGATTACTTACATTTTGGAACTTCCTGAATGGCACAAACTGGACAATGTCTCTGACAGCTGGTTCTCCTGACGAGGACCTAAGAACTCCATTGTCACCATCAAGAAACTCCATAGCGTCGAAGTCTGCTCCTCCAACACCAACAATGATAATGGACATGGGCAATTTCGAAGCATTAACTATGGCGGTTCGAGTTTGATCAAGGTCTGTTATCACGCCATCCGTTATGATCAGAAGTATAAAGTATTGCTGTCAAATCAATAAACGCTGTGTTATGACAAAGAAATAGAAAAAATATAGGCATGTACACTTAGAAAAATGCACATACAGACTACATACTGTTGTCACTTTGAGCACGTTCAATGCACTCACTGAATTTTACAATCAAACATCGAAACTGTGGTCAGGTTTCATCTGTACAGTCTGAAGAAATTTATAAGGACAACATGATCAATCTTTTAAAAGAAGTCATCTTTAAACAGCCACCTCCCAAAAACCCAATGGTATCACCCTTCTCCTCTCCAAAATCCCCAGACACACCAGCAGTTAACCTATCTTCCAAGTATTTGCCCTGGGATAGAAGGAAGTTTGTTGAGGTTTTGGACAGATAACACCTGAAAAACTTGTATTTGTTTCCTTTCTGGTCTATCAATACCTTTATGAAATGCTACCCTTCGCTTCATTCAGTTAAGAACAGATGAACAAAAGAGTGCTACCAAGGGTAATGGAACAGGCTTTCATTTTTTCAGTGTATCCCTAAAATCCTAAATATAGATTAAAACACATCTTTTTGTGCTGAAAAACAGCATGCCCATTTTCAAATTCTTTTAATCATGTTTTCTAGCTGCTTTGGTAAGTTAATTACCAAGGCATCTGAGACCACCTTGCAGTGCTTCGGTAATTTATTCAAGTATCACTTGAGTCGCTTCCACTATACTTCCAGGGCTTCTAAAAGTTAGCATCTTAGCCTCTGTTCTGGATTAAAGTATCAAGAACAAACTAGAAATACAAAACTCAGAAACTATCAAACACTTTTTGAGCTTCTGGTTTTCTCTCACTTGGTTCATTTCAGACGATTAGTGGGCAGCACAAATTCAAGTTCCAAAAGGTACTCCCAGTATTCTTAAAAGTCTTCCTCTTCAGTACTTTGCTTCCCATCTTCCCTTATCTGCCTCCAAAATAATTGGTTTCCCCTTATCTCCTGTGTTCAAGTATCATGTTTTCTCATTGCTCCCCACCACTCCATTCCCCGACTCCAACAAAAATGTCTACAAAGCAACCATGATCAAAGAAGGCTATGACCAGCAGCATGTCAGCATATCACATTGGATTTATTTCTCTCTTCTTA